CGATCACTTTATAATTGATCAAAGAGGCCAGATGTAGAGTATATATACCACTTTTTAGGGATTTGGCGGTGAGTTTTCTTGACTCGCTGGCTTGAATTTTGTTGTGACGATGATACCTCGCTCTGATGATGTCCGTCATATGACATTGCCTCGGAAACAGCGTCAGCATGAATGTTCCAGTAAAGTCAATCGACAGCTAGTCAAGAGGAACCCGCCGTCGTCTTCTGGTTGAACCGACCTTCGAATCTCTTCACGCAACACTTTCACTCGAAATGAAAGTAGGCTCAGCAATTGTGAAACAGGCGATTCCTCGAAACCCAACTTTTCTTCGCATACATTTGGTTTAGCGCAATACCGCCGCATAAAGCTGTGTAATATGGGCCCTCCTAATATGAATAGCACGTTTGGGTTTTTGTGCTTCAGTCTTTTGCATGACGAGACTTAAAGTTTCTCTTTGACGCAAATGTGGCCATACCCTACGTTTAGACTAGCCAAAATTCGCTGAAATTTGACCTGATTGTGGGTCTGCGAATAGGCCTTGATTCAAATGGAGGTCTTCACAACAACAACAAACATTTTCGAATAGGTTGGCGTAATGGTTAACGTTTCGAGATTATATGCTGAACTGCCCCAACTCGGGTTCGAGTCCCGCTGTGAGTGCGGATGGGACAGGCTCGTGCGAGGTCGAGATTGCAGCCCACTCCAGTTGGGACGACAGCACCTTCATGGAAGCAAGGCGATGTGGGAACACAGCGTCTGCTCGCATGATTGTGGGAAACTTCAACTTCTACGCTTTCATCACCCCCAACGGAATATTGTGAATGCATCTCACGACAACAACTCAATAGCGCAAGGATTGCCGTGTCCTGACACTTGTCCGGAGAGCTTCGGGCTACCAGCAAACACTTGAGATCGCGTCCACCGTTACCACGAGTCTCCATGGCGTCAGGCCAATGGTGGAATGTCGTCTTTCCGATCGACGGTTTGAGGCCGTGGTCGTTTGCTTGCGGCAACGAGGCATCTGCCTCGAATCAAAGACGAGAGTCAGTCGAGCCTGACCTCGGGCCCGGAGGAGGAATCTCATGCGAGAGGCGGGGCGGAGGGAATTTCTCGTCACGTCCCTCATTGTAAGGACAAAATAGCATTTTGGTCGAGCCAGTTGGCTGTCCGGTTCTCCTCTCTTCAACCGGCCAGCTGCAAATTCTGGAATGCTACTCCGAGTGGCTTCAAGTATGGCCCGCAGGGCCCTCTTCGCATCGCCTCACTTCGCAGGCAAAGAACAATCTTCTTATCATACACTATTAGGAAGATATAAATTCATATATTGTTGTCTTCCTTCACAACTCCTCTCTACGTTAACCCCATATCGATAAAGTACCTGCATTAAACCCACAAAATAAATTCCAGATAAAAAAACAAACAACTATATATATATATATATATATAAAAGATACGAAGAGAAACTGGGTTTAGATTAATCTCCTGAGATAAAATTGTTGGGGGGACTTTCATTTCGTATGAATGTGCATGACGAAGAGATTCGTGGGCCGATCTCATCAGAAGAGGTTGGCGCAGTCCACCAGACTTCCTCCCTCGTTCTGGGTAAAGACAGGTGGAGCTTTCGTCCATCATTCGATAAACATCATCAAAGCTGGGTCTCATTTCTGTAAAAGTCTCACGT